ACAGGCAGGGAAGTTTCATTGTAATGTTAGGAAAATCAAGAAGAGCAAGTTTACTGGGGAGAGTACAAATAGCTTTTCTCTTTTCCAAGGTAATGACTTGTAGATAGATATGCAGTGCATCAACATGAGATTCATCTTTTTGTCACCTCAAAATGAGGTTCCTGTGGCATGCTGTCCAGGAGGCACCTGCAGGCTGCTCAAGATGCAGGTGTAGGAGATTGCAGCCTGGTTTTGTTTGCAGGATTGCATGATGGAAGCAGAGCAGCCTGTTGCTCCCAGCCTGTGCTGACTTCCAATAAGTTTCAGATACTTACAGTGGACTTGCAGGTCGTGTCTCTAACCTGTGAGGTTTCCAGAAAGGTTTGGGATCTAGTTACCTTCTCTTGCTGGGAATATTTCTACAGCTGAGACTGGAGCAAGGCTAGGTGGAGGTGCTTGTAAAGCATGAAACATCTTCTCATAAATAAGCCCCCCCCCACCAAGGGTAAAATCCCTGTAGGTATTTAAAAGATGTGCAGATGTGGCACTTAAGGACATGGTTTAGTAGTGGACTTGCCAGTGATGGGTTAACAGTTGGACTTGATGATCTTAAAGTTTGAGTAGATTTTTTTTTTCCACCGTTCAGTGCAATTATGATCATTTTTCATCAAAAGGAAAGAAGCAGAAGCAGGAATAATTCACATCAGTGCATTATCAATTCTTTGAACATCAATGAATTTGAAACAAAATAAAAAATGCTAAAAAGAAGATAACTATTTGAACTATAGGGACAGTAATTTCTAGGTAATTTCTTGACTTCTGTGAGCAAATTTCTTCCAGATTAGGAAATTCAGGATTATTTTAATTTTGATAAAAATAGAATATCCATTCAACAGACAATAAAAGCTGTTTAAACCTGTTAAATACTATGAAATAGATGTATACAGCTAATTAATGTACGTGTTGAATAGTAATTATGTCATCCTGAGGGATTTACAAATAGAGTCTAGTTAAAATTTGATTCAATCTTCTATCATTCACAGAAGGTGCAAATTATTATTCATTTAGTGCTCTCTGATTTCAGTTCTAAAGGTAATCCAGAAAAAAGGGAGAGGGATTTCTGTTTTATCAGCATTGTTTAAGAACTAAGATCCCTTAATTATCACACTGTACCAATAGTCTGCTACCCAACTTACTGAAGCAGTCATTCAGCTTCGAAACTAACAATTTACCCTCCAAGCAAAGAAAGATAGAAGAAAAAGTGTTTAGTCAGCAAGCAAATATACCAAATTGTATGTTTGGGCTTTTGTTTGCGCTCATGTTTCTGAGCTGCGCAAATGAGAGTCACTTAAACAATGACTTTCAGTCAAAGGCATCAAAGCAAAGGAGAGAGATTTCACAAAAAAAAAAAAAAAAAGGCAAAGGTGAAATAAGGCTCCATGGGATCCAGTTCTGTCAAGAACTTCTGGAACCTCTTTCCCTGCTCTTTCTTATTAAGTAACATTGGTAGACTCTTGGCCTTGCTCCTTTGTGTAATTTCTCATCATGGTAACAACAAATTAGGTAAGATTCAAAATCACCTTGTGAGAGTATTATAGATTCTTTTACAGGGATGTTGCTTTTAATGACCTTAAAAGAAAACCTTTTCTTTCTGTCTGGTTTTGTCACAGTAATTGTCAGTCTCTGTAGTTACCAGTAAAACTTGCCTAAAATGAAAAAAAAAAAAGAATAAGCCCCCCCAAAAAATTGTTTAATAAAACATTTTTATGTCTAGAAATGAAAACTGTATCTTTCAAGGAAAATGTGAATTTCCCAAGAAGCCAGAACAGTCCAGGAGCTACAGTAGTAATGGCAGTATGGTAGAAACAGGTTCTACCTTATTCCAGCCTCTCTAGCTGCTGGGACTTCTATCTGTCGGAGCCGTCATGGGAATTTTGTCAAAATGGAGATATTTTTGTGATAATCTTGTTTTTTGTTGTACTTTGGTTTTTTTTCTAAGTAGGAAAAACTTTTCCCCCAAAATTTTCTCACTCAGCTTGTTTCTTCCATTAAGGAAAAAAAATTACAAATCAGACAATGGTCATGTTACCAAATATACAAGACATTACTCCATTTTTTTCCATAAAAAAAGTACGTGTAATCCATGTGGATATGTTGGCAGTAATTGTTTGGGCTTCTTGGAATGTAACTTCTAGTGTACTTAGACTGGGTATATATGTTGTTTGATTTTATTGCAGAAAGGTAAATGTTCTGCACCATTTTTTTTACAATAATATTTCCTATTGATATCAGTGGGACCAATTAAGTATATTAAAATTCTTGTGTATCCTGCCCTGCTTAATGCCAGCCAGTACTCAGGAGCAGCCACTGCTAAGAGGGAGCGCAGCAGCTGCCCAGCAGCTCTCACAAATGGTGTGTGCAATTCTTTAAGTTGAGCTTAAGCAAAGGTGCTGGGGTTCTTTGGAAAAATTATCCAGAAGTAAAACCTAATTTGCTCTGTTCTGATTTTCTCTTTCTAACTGAAGTGGCATCTTGGTAAGGTGAATGGAAGAACCTACGTTATCTTTGGTTGGTTGGGTTGGGTTTTTCAGAGAGAGGCAAATGGGCTTGACATAACTGGTTTTCTCTGCACATGCCATCATATTTAATCTTTCGACACAGCTGCTTGCTTACAGTACAGTTTGGAGTACTAGCTACTAAAACACCTGTAGTCCTAGTTGTTGCTTGGAATCTGGCAGAAAACTGCCATATTTATGTCTTTCTTTGTTTCTCATGCAGACCATTAGACTGCTCTATAGGGATGGGTGATATTGTAATAGAAGTGGAAAGTGTTCCCAGTTCTTAGCAAGATAAGAAAATGTTGTTTCTTATCTGTGATTTGAAAAGAGATGAAGGGTCAGTGAGGTAGAGATACATGAAAGCTATTGTGCACTTGGTAGGGCCTGCAGAGGAGGAATATCTCTCATCGGCAGCTTCTTTGAGTGGAAGGGAAGAGAAAGAAGCAGCTTCTAAGTGAAGGGAGAGGATTTGGAAAAACGTCAAGTAAAATCAGAGAAATGTGTTGGTTTATTTACTTAAAGAAACAGGTACACAGCTTGGAGATTGTTCCTGAAGAGAGCAAGTCGAGTTCAGAACAGCTTTAAACGCTTGCCTGCTGTTGATTCTTTGGGATTTATAAAATTTCATAGGCCTCTTCAGTCTTTAGCGGTAGCTGAGAGAAGCAAGGAGAATGTGATGGGCTCTTAGACACCTTTGATTTTGAGTGATTGCATGGAAATATAGGGCAGTCTGATAGATCCCACATGTAACTTAGCTGGGGCTTGCCTTGTCTTCCCACCTGCCTCAGCATAGCTGCATCGGAGGAGGAAGTGGCAGTTGTGCTGGAAGTGGTATGGGGAAGGTTTTAGGCTATGTCTGTCCCCAGCCAAGAGTTAGCTGCTTGGAAGCTGATTATCTTTATAGCAGGAACTATAAAATGGTCAAAATTTGATTTCAAGACACAGCATGCATGTGCCAGACTTGGTGTTAGGGGCTGATTAGGTCTGCAGCCGCTTGAATAAGTTCTTCTCCCCACCACCCTCAGCAGATTTGCAGCTGGTTTTCAGCTGATGTAAAGTACAGGAGCTGCTGGTAACCTGGTCTGTGCTGGCATTTGGGGTGGGAGTGGAGCAGGTACCCCAATACCTATCTGTCTCTGCCTTCTTCTGCAGAAAGCAGAATAGAGCTGTCTTGGGTGTGGGTTTTTTTGTATTACAGTAGCAGTGGATGTTGTATTATATGTTGTATATGTATTCTAACAGCAACTATTTTTGCTTGACACATCAGTGCCTTGCATTCATTTGCACACCATTCTCCAGTCCACAAGAGGCGCATGTCCTATGCTGAATAACAACATCTCATGGGCTTGAGGACCAGGGCTATGAAATTAGGCCCATGCTAACTGTTGGAGAAAATCTCTTATTTGTTCAGTAGTAATTAGAATACATTGGAAATATATGGCCAGTCTTTCCTATGTTAGACTGAAGGACACAACCTTAACTAGCTTTAAACATGAAAGTTGAAATTCTTCCGTGTTCAGCTGATGCAAGAAGTTGAAGGTACATGTAAACCAGTATTTCAGTATGCTGGTGCAGCCTGAGGGGAGTCTATCTGGATTTTATGGAACTAAGCTGTTTACTTGCCTTAAAGAAATAACATGAATGAATGCCAGCACCAGATCGTCGTTTTCCAAAAAGGTGCTCAAGATTGTTTGCCAGTGAAGATTTCTAAAACGGAGTCAAGGACTGTCTTTGACTGTATTCAAAGGCTACCCTCGTTTATATATATATACATGAATTATTGTTTCATATCACAGGATAATAATAACTTTGGGTTAAGAATTTATTATAAAGAAGAAGGATTTATCCAAGAGGGTCATGGGACAAGGAGATGAAGAACTGTTCCACAGCACTTGTAGTAGGAATAACAGGGAAGGACAAACTTGTCCTCTCATTTCTTCTTACTGGATGTGCACATAGGTTGCCTTCTTTTACACACTAGTAAGTGGGATAAAGTTTTGGAGCTGTTGATTTAAAGCTTAGGTCTTACTTGTGCACTGAAGAGTGAAATTAGCTACAATAACTGTAATGCACATAAAAACATTTGTTGCTGAGCTTCTAATAGTAACAGATTTCAAAAATTATGCTTATATTTTGGAGCTGGTGGAATATTTGAAAGATTTACTTATAACAGAATTTGCATTCCATATAATTTGGATTTAATGACTTGGTGTAACACAGGCAAAAGAGTTTCTGAGTATGTGACTCTCCTTTTCCATGGCACAGTAGGTACTTCATCTTTATTTTTGGTTGCATGCTAAGAAATCAATATGTAAAGCAAAAGTGAACAGACACTTAAAAGGAAAGCATCAGAGAAGTTGAATAGTCATTTACTGGGTTAGTATTTAGAGCTGGCATATATTTCTGAGTGGGAAAGGGCTTCAGAACAGGGCAATTCACAAACCGCTTATTCCCCTTCAACAGCTAATTCAGAGGCAGCAGGTGTGTAAGCAGCCCCTTGGCAAGAGGACCAAGTGTAGTTTGTGACAGAATTGAGTGGAGATGATCCCAGGATCTTCTTTTGAGTTCACCGAGTGACCTGCAGTTTTATTCCAGCACCTAACACAGGTAAGAGGTTTCTACAGAATCTGCATTTCCCAAGGTGTTTTAATATGTGACTCCTAACCTTTATTCATAGGTGCCTTGATGTTTTGATGCAGTACCAGGTATCAGTACCAGGGTTTTGGTAGTTTTATCAGGCTTTAAGGTATCTCCTTTGGCAAAATTATGTTAGAGAGCCATGGAGCATTTGTCAGCAATAATACAGTAATTAATGCATATACAGAATATGTTTGGGGCCAGAATTTGAGACTAAAAGGGGACTGATAATTAAATCTCTGTATCTCATTTCATATTATTCAGGAGAAATTTGTTTGAGTTAAGCAAAAGGTCTACATCAAGGCGTGAAGTGCTGCTGGCTGTTGGTACTTTATTGGAGCTGATTCCTGAAGAAAATAAATTTGTTCCTGAACTGTATTGCTGTTACAGAATACCTATTAAACAACCAACCACAAAAAGAAAACACCAAAAAGACCCCAAACAAACAAACAAAAACCAAAACCACACAACCCTGAAAAATTCCAACATGCCTGTTGAAATGTTGTGGATCACAGTAGGGATCTGGCTGACAGAGGGACTACCTGCACCATCCAGGCTGGCGCAGCTGCAGCCAGGTATGTGGCAAACTGTCTTTAATAGGCTGATGGACAGAGCCTCTCAGGAAGGCAGTGAAGGCGAGAATGAACTTTGTGTTGCAGGTCCCCACCCTGAAGCTTCTTCCTTGCTTCTTTTCAGTTGCTGTAGACTTTTATACTTGCTTTTGGGCATGAGGTGCCAGGTTTCTAGGCAGACATGGGACTTCCTATTTTTCTTTATGTAGGATGGACTGTGTAAAATGCCCTGCCATGCGAGTTACTTGAGAAGTCATGTTCAGTGGGAGCAGGAGACATGATCTGATTCTGCTTGCTGGAGGAACAATATGTTTTAGATCATGAAAACTGAGGGCTGCTTTACTCCATCATCATTTCATTGGGGGTGAACAGCAAGCAAAAAATGGAATTCTATTCTCTGTGGCTTAATTTCAGCCAGAGATAGGTCTTCAGGGCAGTAATATTCTTCTTCCTCAGCTAACATACCCACAGGACCTCTGTATTATGATGTAGTCAGTGCACTGAATATGTGCAAAGCATCCTATTCTACCCACCTCCCACCCCACCGGTGCTGTTTCTTTTAAGTGACTGCATGATGCCAAAGCACAGCAGTATGTGGCTTCTGTTGTCAGAGAAGACCCCTCTTAAAATAAGGAGCTGTCTTTGCAGCTGCATGGGCAGCGAAAGCCAGGGTGCTTCCACAGGGCAGCAGCCACAAAAGCCGCTTTCTGGCAGAATAGTGTCCTTATTCCTTAATTATTAGCCCTAATGAAGGGGTTTTGTCATTTTATTTTTTTTTTTTTAAGGGAAAAGAAAAAAGAAACTGAGAAAGAAAAGCAAATGAGAAAAGAAACAGCCAAGAAGGAGAAAAGATTGAGAATAGTTGGGATTATCTCTGTGCTGTCTCTCAGGTCCAGTGACAACACGACTACAATGGGTAGCTTTCAGGACTGCATATGGTCTTCCTTCCGAGGGAGTTGATTAAGCGACTCCGGATGAAATTGAAATCCTGTGATTTGACCTTTGTCTGGCCTGGGAGGACTGCAATTCGCATAACAATTTCCTTTTGTTCTTTGTTTGGAGTTATTAATCCAACATGAGCCTCGAATTAATCAGGGGTAGTGCGTTGTTACATTTCTAATTCACAGCTCCACTGCTTGTGTCTTTTTTAATTAAGGCCGAATGATAGCAGGCCTTAGCCCCTGATTGCAACACTTACTAACCACACATTGAGGGATGAAGAGGCTAAATAGGCAGAATGAGATTACTTCAAGGTTTCACTTAATTGTTTTCTTCCTTTAAGTAAAGAGCACTGAATGAACATTGTTAATGCCAGGCTGGGAGTATTTCTTTTATATATGTGTTATGTGCGTGTGCGTAAGTGTGCGCGCAGGGGTGGGGGAGGTTGTGAAGGGTGCACCGAGGACTCAGAGCTCTAATGGCTCAAGGGTTTGTAAAATTGAAGCCTTTGGTTATTGATTTAAACCATTCCTCCCACCTCCCCTGGGGGGCAGGGGCAGGGATAGAGGAAGGGGGAAAAGACTTGAAGAACATTAAACTTATGCTAGCTGCATGGATTTTCTTGTATCCTGTGTGAACATATTTGTTTATGTAGTTTTTCTTGCTGTTTGCTAGTGCATCAAAGGTAGAAAATGCAGGAAGATTGAAAGCTATCAGAGATGCCAAAGAAATGTGTTGAAAGACATAAAGCTCTCCAAAGCCTGGTACTAGTAATAATGATAATAAAATAAAGGCAAGCCAGTTGTGTCACTTACCAGATTTTGCTCATGCTGAAGGATGTTTGAGTCATGTTTCAAAAGCTGTTTGTAAGTTTGTATTATCAGAGCAGTTAGGGACCACAAAGGCACAGGTGCTATTACAGGGGAACAGTGTAGATGATCTCAGTTAGATTCATGCTGGATAACTCAGAGTGGGCCAAGCAGGATGCTGGAATGGAAAATGCACTGAGCACCCAATCTTTCAACATTTATATGCCCAAATAGTTCCATTAGCTTGGAAAGAAAAAAAAAAAAAAACAAACAAAAAACAACCAAAAATAAACAACCCAGGATTCATATTGCAGGATCAGGCCCAGTATTTTGGTCTCCTACAGTGCAGTACATTGGATATTATTGTTAAGGAGAAAGGTTAATATTTATGGTTCCAAACCTGCTGAATATACAGAAATCCCACTGAATTCAATTTGTGCTGTGTGTCTGCAATATCAGATAAAGCTCTGTAATTGTGGGAACTAACTTTTCCTGAGTTATTTTATCTATCCAAGGAGCTGGATGGATAGGGAAAGCACTTGCTTGGAAGCGTTAATGTTTCTGTGTAAAATGGTGTTAATTGTACCAGGCTGTACAGATACCAAGCTGCAGTTCTGACTCTAGTGTAGGATATACAGGGCAGCAAGGCTGTTCCTGCTTTTCTGAATTCCCAGTGTGCGGTGGCTGTTCCATGCAGGATTATTTAAGAATGCAAAGACAAAACCTCTAGATAGATTAAGCGAAAATAGGGTCCAAAGGAGAAAACTCTGAAGGAGAAAAATGTTTCAGGTAAATGTTTATTTCTATGTTTAGAAATCTAAATTGTGAACAGAGTCTGCTTTTTAGATGCTTTTAGACTTTAGATATGGACTGAAAAGAACGAGCAATGCATACAGCCTTCCACAGAAATGTATATAGTATCTGGAAACAAAAACAAACTAACACACAAATCTTCAGGTCCGGCCTTCAGTTGATGCAAAGAAGCACCAGTGACTCCATTTCTTTCCATGATCAGTCATGTCAACACAGGATTTACACTGAATTGGGTTCACAGGTTCAAAGCCATTTTCTTGACTTCCCTGCTCTTTTCTTAGGTGCTGCCTGATCCTGTTTGTCAGGATACTTCTGATAGATTGCCAGCTCCCGTGCTGGGACAAGAAGATGCTCAGCATTTGTTGGAGTAGGCCTGCCTTACTGGCAGTTCAAGTACCTTAAACATAATTTTGTTTTGCAGAACCAGTTTTGATGCTCTTACACTGGATAACACCTTACTCTGCAAATACTCCTATTAAATCAAACTTTGCATGGAAAGAGTAGTATTAAGTATGAGTAAGCACATCGGAATACGACCACCAATCACTCATTGTTGGTGATTTCTGTTTAAAGACTGAATCCTGCACATTTGTTCACCTTGTTCTCTTTTTCCTAGAAATCTCTGCAGGATGGGGTATGTTTGTTTATAGCAGACGCAGTTCCAGAATTAAAACCTATTTTCAGTGCCATTCTGTGTCTTAAATATGTATGCTTTTTATTTTTAATTATTGTCTGAAGGTTTACTGTCATTGATTTAAAGGTATCACATTATACTTCCAAAGGGTCTCAGGATGGATTGGCACCCCCATGTGTTTCTTGTGTGAGTGTATTGAATAACATCTTAAAAACCAAAATCCAGTCTGCTCTGTCTCCTGTTTAAAAATCTCATGGCAGTGGTCATTAGAATGGGTATGTTTGGAGTACTTCTAAAATCTGCTTTTTTTCCTTATTTTTGTATAGCGTAATGTTCATCATTAATGTATTCAGTAGCTCTCTTCAGCAAACTTAGAATGCCATTTAAGTGCCTTGAGATCCTTAAAGATGAAAGAAGCTGTATAAACAGATGGCAGCAGTATTATAATGCTGCTTTGGCTGGTTAACTCTCGATGTAAGCTATCTTGCTGGACCTTGTTGTACAGCTAGAGCCAGGTACCCTGTCAGTAGTTTTAAGCAGTTGGCTTGCTCTCTGTATAATATAACATTTCTGATTCCTTTCAATTACTCTGCAAAGGAAGTTAGGCTTCTTGCCATACTCAGCAACCAAAAGACCAGGTCAGGGTTCATGATAATGCTTTCCTGGCCTTGCCCGAAGTGGCTGTAGTTGCACTTATTTAAGGGATGAACCACTGATCAGTAGTTGTTGAACATTTGCAGCTGCAGATGTCAACAGTGATGAGTCCACAAATAAATAAGGAATAACTGTTGTTGCTGCTGCTGTTATTCCTGACAGTTTTAAACAATCTGTTGCTATTTATGAAATATTTCTGTTGAGATCAAAACTGCCCTGAACTTTTCTCTGCTCTCCACTCCAGCAGGGATGTGCTCCTCATGTCTGCAATGACAAGTCATCCTTGTGCTGCTAAATGCCCAATTTCAGCAGCGGCAGTGCCACTCCTCCACCGCGCATGGAGGTGCTGACGCTCCTCCTTGAAATCAGTGGCATGTTGGCCCTGGTCTGTTATATTTCTCTCCTCTCCCCTTTTGGACATAAGGTAGAGATTACGATTAATGGTCCTTTGAGTTGCTCAGTGCTCCTCCCTCTGTGCTGTCTCCCTGTGATCCCCCTTCCCGCACCCTCCCTCTCCCCCCCGTCAATGGGAGCCTTTGATGTTGCACA